ATATATCTATTAGAGTGGAAAAACACAATTCACTTTGTTCAGGCAATAATAATTAATATAGATTATTATTTAGCGCTATTTTCAAACTTGAAATAATGTAAAGTAAATAGAAGGAAAATGTTTGAACGACTTATCGTTAGTATTATACAAAATTACACCAAGTGTTCTTTTTTCTTATCGTAAAGGATTCTTAATATTGCACAATGTAGATTCGCAATATATTCGCAGTATATATGCGAGATTAAGTCTCTCCCGTGAGTATGCAATGCAGATAACATGTTGCTTTTCAGCATAAAACAAAACGAGCGGACCCAGCTTTCTCTCGACTTTCCAAAGCCAAACACGTCCTTAGAGTCGATCTGCTCCCTCGCGATATATAATTCATTCGTTAAATTACCGTTAATCGAAATTGCTTAAGAAAAAGAAGATCGTGAAGGGTACAAGTGCCAAATTTGCGCGAGAAAATGTTACAAGCGACAAATTTATCCAATAGAAGATCGCTCTCCGCAAATTTTTTTTATTAGATAATCGGAAAGTTAAATATTATCAAATGACTATTTATTTATATATTTGTAAGAAAAGTTTCTTTCTTTTCAAATATATATAAAACCCTGCGGATAACGATAATCTCATCACATTACCATATAAAAGGGAATGGCAGTGGATTACAGACATCAAAGCCGTAGCCGCGCGATGGAATGCTACTTTTATCCAATGATATAAGCGCCAGTTTATCGTAAGTGTGTTCTTTTCGTTAGAGGCAGAGATTCCACATGTGTGCACTCGGTAAAAAAAAAAAAATTTAAAAAAAAAAGAGGAAAGAAAGAAATTCTCAAACGTTAGCAGAGCGTGTTCTCTATGAATCGAGCGGATTTATTCTTCGAGAACAGGTCGGCGGAGATCTGGTGAACGGTGTATCGCGAGTTCGGAGGGAAGGGGATAGGATTGAGGGAGAAGGGGAGAGGCATATATATCGAGAGTTACCCACAAAGCGGTTTTTACGGAGCTACGAGGTCAGCGTCTCTTTTCCGTGTACTCGGATTCGCCGCCGATTCTCGGCCCCGGATTTCGACCGACAACAACATCAGCTCGCAATGAAACGCGTCTTCTAGAAAATACGACGATAATAAGACGATCGCGGTTTATGGTGCCGTCATGTGACCAATATATAACAAATAAATATTTACGCATACTACGCGACGCGCGTTCCTTTCACTCGCGCGCGTCGCGCGTTGGCTTGCTTATCGATTCCAAAACACCCAGATGTGCGACGCGAATAAATAGCAGGAGGCTTGGCCGCGTTTAATGCGCCGAGTTTCGAAGGTTTTCGCGAAAATCTTCGTCGAACATGCCTTATATAAGGGAAA